GGAGTGTGACTGTTGCTCCGTACTATCTAAGAGGGGACATGTGTCGTTATGTAGCAACCAACAGTGGATTCCTGTCATTTAATGCCATACAAGTGTGGACCTTTTTTTCTGTAGGCAATGCGGACCAGTAAATATTATGCATTCCTGATGAAAACTCATCAGGACATTGATGCTTCATGAATTAATTTGGGTAGCCCTTTATATTAGGGCTTGTCCATAAAGTACACAGGTACATCTAAGCTTGCTAGTCTGTAACTAAACCAGCATTTTCATTCCACACTTTACCAAGGGATCGACTTTGCCTCTGGATGTCATGTCATCGGTAATAAGTCTTTTTCTCATGGGTAATGTGGGTTACACATTTCTTAGCAAAGGACAGCAGCTTCTCAGGTGGAGGATCAAACTTCAGGCTCTTGAAGGTTTAAGTTGGTAAAGTTTTACTTATGAGTCCCCTAACTTGTGGGCAGCCCTTCATTATAATACAGTGTCAAGATTGAAAATGTTTAAGCCATCCATTAAAGCTGAGACTTTATATTTCATTACAAAAACATAACAAATCATGCGGAATAATTATTGATGCTGGATGTTGGAGTGTGACTGTTGCTCCATACTATCTAAGAGGGGACATGTGTCGTTTTGTAGCAACCAACAGTGGATTCATGTCATTAAATGCCATACAAGTGTGGACCTTTTTTTCTGTAGGCCTAATGCAAACATGAAAATACCATGCATTCCTGATGAAAACTCATCAGGACATCAATTTATTTGGGTAGCCTTTTATCTTACAGTCTGAAGCTTAATACTAGTTAGGAAATCTACTATTGCTGAGCCTTTAAGTTTTGTTACAAAAGCATATTATCAAATCATGTGTCAACAGACTGCTTAGTTGAGATTATATTTATATGTATTATTGTTTTTGCTTTCGTTTGTCATACATGCTATAGTTTGAATGTCAAATTATCCTTATTAGAAAAAGGATAACTCATTATCTGTTGTCTGACCTCATTATATTCATAAATGACTTTAAAATTAACCCCCTAAAGATATCCAAATAGCCTTAACAGAGTGTAGTGGATGTGTGATTCAAAACCAGTCTAAGATTCAGTTATTAAGAGCAAATACAAAGTAACTCTTTAAAATGCATACATCACCATTCCACACAGGTCATAAAAACGACCATCCCACACAGAAGAATATGAATTCCCCTAAGAGAAAATTAAAATAAGTGCACTAGTGTAATAAGATATTTTATTGTTATTTAAACAGTATTTGAAACCTAATTTTTGTTGGTAATACTGTAGTGCTTGATATCAATGCATGCAGCAAAGTTACTTCTTTACTACTTTACTACTATTTATTTTCAGGGGTTCGCAGGTGTTCATCTGCTGAAAACCAAAACACCGTGACTTATTGACCCTTTTGCAACACCAGGTCAGATCTGACCCGGGAAGACCAAAAATTTAATAAATTTGAAAAAAATACCCACAATTCAGTGAAAGTAGTGATCATTTTGTTTGTTTGTTTAGAGCATAGTGTGGAAGCATCCATGTTATTTTGGCGTAATTTCATGAAATAAAACCACATTTTTCATACAAAAGAATTTCAAAACGGGTCAAATTTGACCCAAAGACAACACAAGGGTTAAATAAGAAACAGCATCAAATTAAAATAAACCAATAATGGCTGCTGATCTGGTAAATGAGGTTGTGCCTGTACAGCATCTGAGGTATTCAGTCACACCAGGTTAAACAGTTAATTATCTTTCAGAGACCTACGTGACTCCTGAATGTAGCCTCATGTATTAGCATGAGGCTACATTCAGGAGTCACAGAGGAGAGCGACCCCAAACATGTGCCTTTTCAGATTTCATAATGTGCTTCGATCTGCATCACAAAACATAATGTTATGATTTTTACTTCCTCCCAATTATGTACATCAATTCTTGTTTGAAAACATTCACAGTATATCTGGAAAGCTTTCAGTGGCTGGCTGGGGAGGAAAATCAGGAGAACATAAACATCACCATCACCATATTGGGACAGCTGTGGCTCGTGGGTAGAGCAGTCGTCCGCTAACCAGAATGTCGGCGGTTTAATCCCCGGCTTCCCCAAGGCTGCATGTTGAAGTGTCCTTGGGCAAGACACTGAACCCCAACTTGCTCTGGTTGGCTGTGCCATCAGTGTGTGAAAGGAATGTTATTTCCTTGCTGATGTGCAGTTGACTTAGGCTCCCAGCCATCAATCAAAAGACTAGAAAGGCGCTATAGCATTTACATTTATTATTTAACAGTATAAACATGCTTGCCATTTTGGCCAGTTTGAATTAAATAAATGCCGCCTGTTCCCATTAGCTGTAACTAACTTGACGTGTACATCTATGTGGCACAACTTTCTTTTGTTGGTTTTTTTGCTGAATTCATTTCAGAGTCTATTTAAAATCAATCAGCTATGTTTGTTTTTGGTGGCTCTAATCATTCCTCCTGGCTGAAAAATCTTTCTCTCCTCACATATTAACTTAGGAAAGTATCCACAGTTCTCTTGAGCTAGAATTTCAAGTTAGTCATATCAAAGTATTTTTTTAGCTTCTATCCCTCCACTCAGAAAGGAAACAAGAGCAAGGTCATCGGTAAGGGATGTACTTGTAAAGGATCAAAATAATATTTCATTTGTGTGGTCCAGGTTTGTTGTAAAATGTCAAATATATTAAGACTCTCCTGCCTGCCTGTTTGATGAACAACCTGTTGATGTTTAACATGAGTTGCAGCTGGTCCAAAGGAGCAATCCAGTTATCTGGACTGATATATTCTTAAATTGATGTCAACATATGCCACCATTAATATTTATGGTAAACAATCTCTGAAAGTCATCTTCTCTGAACAAAAGTTATTATTGTTATTATTATTTATTCATAATTTATATTATAAGTTATTGAGATCAACTTTTGCTGTTGATGATGATGAAACGTTCACCCTCATCAAGCTGAGGGCTGAAATGATCTCCTGTTCACAGGCAAAAGGCACACAGCCGAGGCCAAGAGAGGAGGTACACACTGAGAAATGAGAAACGCCTGCTGACTTTTCAATATCACTAGATGTTGTTTCTAGAGCAGCAACAGCAAAGTCCCCACGTACCCTATATGCACTTTGTACAGGTTCACATGTTGCTGATGAAGTGAGACAGGCCCACTGACTCCTCTGAGGTGAGAGCCAATTAGAGCTGATCAGCAACAGCTGTGTCACCAGCATGATGGGCTTTTTAACCCTCACATGTGGCACAGGTAGCATTTCCTCTTGGTGACTGAAGCAATGGGAGCTGTTCAGGTCTTGGTTATTTGCGTGCTGACTGTTTTTCTTGCTAAAGGTTTTTATATTCCTTCTGTTTGAAGCATGTGTTGAAGAAATTGGTAGTTGTAAAGTTATGTTTGAGCCAAAATGTTTTTGCTATGAGAAGCCAATGCCTTGCTGTAACTTCTAAAAGTTTGTTCATTCCTGAAATGTTACTGTGACAAATTGATCTGTGTTTTGAAATGGCACAAACATAAGTTAACAGTGAGTGCACTGTCCATAGGCTCTTGTTTGCCAGTTGGTGGCCCAAATGAAAGACATGATGGGCTGCAGAGGAGAGTAAGAGGTAAGAACACTTGTGATATATTCAGAGCGTCAGGCTGACAGTAACTGCTTTGTACTACAGAGTTGTTGCAGTGAGATGTTACAGGAGAAGATTCTACGAAACCCTACTGGTAAAATGCATGTTGGTGTAGCGCCTTAGTTCATAATCTCAATGTAGTTAATCTGAGCACACCATGTGACGTCTAGAATGGCTGTCTACATCAGTCATGCAATAAAATATGTACATACTAGAACATCATGGATGCAGTCAGTTGCATATTCTGTCATATTGCAATAAAGCCAGGGCCGCTGTGGAGCCGGCGACGACCACGCCGGGCGGGCCCACTGTGGAGCCGGCGACGACCACGCCGGGCGGGCTCACTGTGGAGCCGGCGACGACCACGCCGGGCGGGCTCACTGTGGAGCCGGCGACGACCACGCCGGGCGGGCTCACTGTGGAGCCGGCGACGACCACGCCGGGCGGGCTCACTGTGGAGCCGGCGACGACCACGCCGGGCGGGCTCACTGTGGAGCCGGCGACGACCACGCCGGGCGGGCTCACTGTGGAGCCGGCGACGACCACGCCGGGCGGGCTCACTGTGGAGCCGGCGACGACCACGCCGGGCGGGCTCACTGTGGAGCCGGCGACGACCACGCCGGGCGGGCTCACTGTGGAGCCGGCGACGACCACGCCGGGCGGGCTCACTGTGGAGCCGGCGACGACCACGCCGGGCGGGCTCACTGTGGAGCCGGCGACGACCACGCCGGGCGGGCTCACTGTGGAGCCGGCGACGACCACGCCGGGCGGGCTCACTGTGGAGCCGGCGACGACCACGCCGGGCGGGCTCACTGTGGAGCCGGCGACGCTGCCGAGCTGGGCCAAAAAGGGCATCTGGTGGCCTTTCATCAAGAAGCCATAAAAGTATGGGACTAGGAACCATGCAGGAGTTCACTTGCATCCAAGGTTTTGCTTTTTGCCTCTGCTTTAAATAAAACTATGAACTTGATTTTGTCTCCTCATTTTTCAGAGATTTAATGAAAAGGCTCACTGACAACAGCCTATGGTTTCCAACAAATCCCTGTATTGGCTGTTTAAACCAGGAGAGCTTTCTGAGTTTAGCCAATTGCATCAATTCAGCTCAAAGGGTTGCTGCTGCCAGGATACTAACCACAAAGATGTGTTCAGCTTGTGTTTTAGAAGCTAAATGTTGACTCGTTTCAGCTGGCAAGTTTCCAGTCTGCCCTGTCACATTTATAGGCTACAATTTGTAGTAGGCCTTTTGCTGCTTCACTACGGTCTGCAGCACTTACAATTACTGAAAGCAGCCTCTCAAAGTAAACTGTTAAATGCATGAATGCAATACACACCGAAATCACATGCGCTGATAAAGAAATGACTGTGCAGTTGCAGGTAAAACTAGTTCTGGTGATTGCCCAGTCTACATGCGGGTTCCAAAAAGTCCAAGCAGATTCACACATCAAATTCTTATTGTGACCTGACAAGTGCAGACAGCAGCTAACGTCATTATTGGGCAATTACAATGAGCATCCTCATAGCACCCATTATGTGGTCGGCACATGTCATTCCAAAAGTATAGTCCTGTGACCACAGGTGGCACATCCTGTCTAAAAATGATGCAGGAAAACTAGTCCATGCATTTGTTACTTCTAGGCTGGATTACTGCAATTCCTTATCAGGCTGCTCGAAAAAGTCCGTTAAGACTCTTCAGCTGATCCAGAATGCTGCAGCACGTGTTCTGACAGGAACCAGGAAAAGAGATCACATTTCTCCTGTCGACGTCATTACACACTAAGAGGGGACTAAAAAGTGAACAGGGGCCATTTTTTAGGTTCCTTGTTGGACATGCTTT